ANNNNANNNCNNANACATATATATATATATATATATAATTTGTAGAATTAAAATATTTCAACACTGTAATAAGTTGATTAGAAAAAATAATAATGTTAACTAACATCAAACTGGGGAAGAAGAAAGGAAATTTTTTTTAATATATTGATGGTGGGTGATGTGGAGGGCTGATGACGTGGAAAATACATGTGTCTGATGACGTGGCACAAACCATTGAATTTGATGGCCACATCACTTTTTCGATCGGCATGTCAGCACACTTTGGCCGGAAGTCAACTTTAAGACGATTTTGCAATACTTATAGAAGGTTTGTATTTTGATGCAAAAATAAAAAGGTTGAGTTTTATGTGCAATTTAACAAAAGGTTGGGGTTTTTATGGCAATTAACCCTAAAATTTATGAAGAAATCAGTTAAAAATTAGTTTGAACAAATACCTGCATTCACATCTCCAAACATCTTGTTTTGCCGAACATCCCTCATCAATGCATCCAACTTGGTCTTAAAAATCCGACTATTATATCAGAACGATCCTCTGGGTTGAGGTTCCTCACAGCAAGAAAGCGACTGATTTCGGGCCACTTCGGATTGCATGTGAAGGTCATGAAAATGTCAGGATAACCGGTCCAACGACAAATCGCCATTGCATCCTGATAGTTCTGAACCATATATCTAGCGCCACCCGTAAAGGATGACGGAAGTATGATTCGTTTGCCTTGAGAACCAGGATTCGTGTCACCACGCAACACAACGTCGGAAAGCCTGCTGTACAATTCAATTCTCAAGTTCTTCTGATTAAAACGAATGTATCTGAGCCGAGCTCCCTCTACCATTGTATAAGCGTCCACAACAAACTGCTGATACAACCTCCGAGCGGAAAGAATTGACGACAATTCGCAGTCCCAATCGTGCATTCGATATTTGAAGAACTCCAACAGGTTGATAAATTTCCTCGACCTCTCTGTGATCGGTTTAAGCCAGAAGAACGGAATGTCCTTCCCGTAGCCATCCTCGCCATATGGAAAAAGAATAGGATAATGGAGTGCCAAGTAAGAAGCGTTTAACTCGTTTATCCGCTGCTGACGTCCGCTCCGATTTTCTACTATAATATCCCTGCTGCCCCTGGCATCATCAGATCCCCAACAACTAAGGCGGCAACTACAGAAGTGGAGGGTAAATTATAACGCCGACCACCCTTGTTCCTTCTACCGATAAGACGCATCTTAACTTCAATTTGCTGGTGTTGGTTCACTGTCTCCCGCTCCATTCTGAACGACTTGACCAAAACATTGTAATGATCGAGCAGCTCCTTTAAACCGGAACTACATCCTCATCTAGGTTATTTCGTTCAGAACCTCTCTTGAAATAAAGAAAATTTTCCTTTGAATTAATAAAGATGATGTAAACAACAATGAAAAAAAATAACTTAGTACTCAATTTGAATGCTAAATCATAAGATATACCTCACAGAAGACAATCGGTTTGATACTTCGTCTCTGTGTCATATATGTACAATTGAGCAAATTTCGGAGGATCCCCATGGTCGGGTAGCAAACTACCCATTAAATGGTAGTTCTGACCGTGCAAACGAAAAACGGGTGGGTCGGTACCCTTGTTTATGTCGGTATCAATTTTCCCCCCCATGGATGTAAAGCAGAACATGTTGTTGTAAGACTGAATGTTTTCTTGAAAGCGCTTGCTCCGTGGACCTGACCCAAAAATCAGCTCACGCAGAAAGGGGGGAGGAGTGTAAACGGGTGGAAGTTCGATGAATCCGTGGTTGCAGCAACCAGAATACTTAGAGACTCTAGGTTTAGATGGCTTGCCCAATCGCTCAGAGTACCAAAATCTCGCGCCACAGTGAAGGCAACGGAACGATGTCGCCAATATACTAATATTCTATGGCATTGTAATTTAAAAGTAAATTTAAAATCTATTATATATTTTAAATATTCTAAAAATCTACAAAGTCATGCATAAAAAGACCATAAAATAAATAAAATTAAATTAAAAAATAATTAGCATTTTTTATTGATGAGTTCGACGAACCGGAAGATAATGTGGAATTGTTGATGGTAATGGAAGGAGGAATTGGGTGCCTCGGACGACCGCCAACATTCGTCCGAGGTGGCAAGCTCAAAGATTAAACTGAGGACATTCGATAATTGGTATAATCATTGAAGATATAACATGTAAATATAATCTCTCTAGTTGACGCTTACGGGGGTGGAGTAAATTCTCCTGGTGGGAGGGCTTCGAATTCTCCTGGTGGGAGCGATCTTGCGAGTGATTTTCTTCCATTCTCTCATTGAGAGCATTCCATTTTTCATTTTTACAGTTCCTTTTCTATTATGCCTCTATTTTACCTTTTTCTCTTTAGTTTTCCTTTTCTAGGGTTCTTTTTCTGGGTTTTGCTTTCAGGTAGGCTATGGAGTCGAATTCACCTAAGGCTAATCAGGCTGTGGATATGATGAATGACATTGGGAATATACTGAAGAACATTGATTTAGAGGGCACAGAGGGTGATGTTATTGAGATTGAGCCTACAGATATCAAACAAGTGCAGTTGAATGTGCTCGCAGTTTGTTTGGCAAAGTTATTGGGGATCGAAAAGCCACATTATTTGGCATCAAGAGAACGGTGAGTGCTATATGGCAGATTCAACAACCAGTGGAAGTCAGATAATTAAGTCAGAACTACTTTCAGTTTATCTTTGGAAATTCTGATGACAAGATGAATGTCGCATCTGGGATGAACTGGATCTTCGAGAACCAGTATCTTATTCTACTAGAATGGGAAAAAGGTATGGGTGCTCGATTTCCAGGCTTTGATTAGCTTAATATGTGGGTTCAAGTCCAGAACTTACCCCTGGATTGGCTTAGCACGGAGGTTGGGTTGAAATTGGGCAAAGCTTTCAAAAAAGTCAGGAATGTCTCTGTTGTTAAAAGAGGAGGCAAAGGGGGACATATCAGACTTCTTGTTACTGTGGACCTTACCAAACCCCTTCCCAGATGCACATCCATGAAACTAGGGGACCAACAAGTTCTAGTGGCATTCTAATATGGGAGGCTAGTCAATTTATGCTTCTACTGTGGCAAAGTAGGCCACCTGGATAAAGCTTGTGCCAAGAGTCTCTCTGACATTGATAAAGGCTGCGTCAAAGAAGGGCAATATGGAGAATGGCTGCGTGCCCCTGAAGGTGGTGGTTACTCAAGAAGTAACTACTCTAGTTCTCCTTCAAGACTAAATACAAACTCCCCTTAGCAGGATAAGAATGGTTATCAGGGCTCTTCAAGTAAGTTTAATGTGGCTAGTGGTAATGGTACTATGGCAGGTGATGAAGAGACACGTGATGCTCCGATTTCATCTCAGGAAGAACACAACCATATGCAAATCTTTGAAAAAAACAGCTCAAGCCATGATATTCAAAATATCCCAAACAAGCAAATTGTGTCAGTTATGGAATCTCAAGAAGAGAAAATTGGGAATCAGCAAATTGTTTGTATTGGCCAACACACAGAACCAGATCTTTCAATGACAGAAGTGCAGCAAGATGAGCCTAAATCCCTTCAGACCACATCACCACCATTTCAAGCTTCCAACCAGCCACTAGCAAGGTTAAGGGTTGGAAAATATCAAAAATCTAGGATGGCGGACTGCTTAGAAGCATTTCCCAGACAGATATCGGAGGCAAACAAGAGTCTCATAAGAGAAGTAGAGCTTTGATTTGTGTTCAATCTCAATTCTCAGAAGAAGAAGGTCAAATTTACCAGAAACAAAAAGAAAGCCAAAAGTATCATTGCTAAGGTGGAGGAAGCCAGCCTAAAGTGGCCCCAAGTGGATCAATGAAGATGATATTGTGGAACTGTAGAGGGTTGGGTGGACCCTCTACAGTTTCCCAGCTTAAGGATTCAATTAGAATCCACCACCCTAATTTTATGTTCCTTTCTGAGTTAAAAAAACAAAAAGATTTTGTTAAAACGATTTGTGTTAAGCTAGGGTATAAGGATAGATTGGTTGCTGTTGATCCCATTGGTATTAGTGGAGGTCTTGTTCTTCTTTGGGACAGTTCTCAGAATATTATTCAGATTATTCAACACTCTTTTTGCTTTGAAGTGGAAATCGGTAAGCCAAACAGTAATGTCTCGTTTTGGGTGGTCTTTGTATATATGAGTACTGATAGAGTTATCAGAGAGGACCAGTGGAGTTTTCTTATTAATGCCAAATCTAAATGGGGACAAGATTGGATAATTGGTGGTGATTGGAATGCCATTGTGGACCTCAGTGAGAAAAGAGGAGGCAGAGATAAGAGTCTTGCAGATATGCTTAGTTTCCAGAACTTTATTAACCAAATGAGTATGGTGGAAGTGAATATGCAGGGTCATAAATATACTTGGTCCAACAATAGATCTCATGAGCATTTTGTGGAGGAAAAACTCGATAGAGTTTTTGGTTCCTTGCGGTGGTCTTCTTCTCATAGCTCAACAGTTGTTCTGAATTGCTACCAAACTGCATCTGATCACAGTCTACTGGTCTTAATCAGTGAGCTCACTCAGATAAAACCCAAGGCCAGATTTATCTTCAACAAGCAATGGATTGAGAAACAGGATGTCATGGATGTTGTCAAGAAGGCCTGGGAACCACTGTTGTTTTGTAGTATTTTGTGGGTAGTTGGTAACGAGCTACTCGACCTTGAGTCGTTCTCAAAGGAAGACGGTTCGAAGCTTCGTTCACCACTCAATTGTCCAAATCACACAAAATGAGAAAATAAAAGCTAAACATGATAATCAATGGGTTGGAGAGTGGATTAATGCTAATCGATGCTAGAAATTGAAAGCAACAAGTAAACTAGAGAATTAAGCAATCAACACTACCGGAGTCTATGCCATCAACATCAAACGAAATCACAACGAGAAGTACAAGTTCTAACACTAGGTCACTAACCCTAACCTTCTAACCTAAGTGATTAAGCTCTAAATAGAGTCTTAACCCTTAATTTAGATAGGCAAGTGATTAGTCCCTACTAAAACAAGCAAGAGCAATGATCAAGTCCAAACTTCCCATCCATCATCCAACAAACACTCAAATTCACCTTGATAATCATCATAATCAAAACCAAGGCAAAAACCGAAGTAATGAGCTTTAAAAGTAAATACCCAATCTTCTATTGCGTGCTAGACGAAAATCGGAGTCAAAAGCTCGGAACTTGAACAAAATAAGAGTCGCCAGAAAATGATGTCATAGAGCTCCCAAGAGAGAGAAGAGAGAAAACTAAAAAGAAAAGAAAAATTCCTAAAGAAGAAAAGTGAGAAATGAAATCTAGATGAGGCAATTACAGAGGACCAAAATGTATTTATAGTCCAGCTCAAAACACACACTAATCTCATGCACATTTACTAAGGGACACTCTCGAGCTCGCGGGTCGATTCGCTGGTCGTGGGTACGGATGGCACGGGGTGCGGCACGAGGAAAATCAGATGCGGCGTGAGGAAACTCCATACTCTCGATACCTCAGAGTAGCTCGTGCACGCGGACGGGCAAGAAGGACAGCACTCTCGATGTCGCGCAGCTCTTCGCGCGCGCGGACGTGCAAGAGGAACACTCTCGAGCTCGCGGATTGGGCCAAGGGGTGCGGGCGCAAGGAAGTCGGTACTTGTGAGGTCGCGGGGCGGCTCGCGTAGTCGCGAGTGTGGCGGCGCTGGGCAGGGATCCTTCGCGAGGCGCGGACTTCAGCTCGAGGTCGCGAGTGGCAGGAGAAAAGGCTCTCCGCGAGGTCGCGGGTCGAGGGGCGAAGTCGCGAGTGTGGGACGATTTTGTAGTTGGCTCGAAATACTCGAAATGAAAATCGTTCGTGCGAAATGGCTCAAAACTTTTCGAAAATGACTCGGAGAACTTGGGAATCTCGTTTCTCGAGATGCGGCCTGACTCTTCTCATCATCCTCGGAATAAACCTGAAAATACACCTAAGCGCACGGAAAAGTACGCCAAAAATAAAGAATAAAAAGAAAGAGATAGAAACACACGAAATACGATAAAATGGACCAGACGACACTAAAACGAACCTAAAAGGCTAAACTAAAGCACATAAAACACACGAAAATAAACACAATAAACAACTGTGCATTGGAACTTCTATGTTCCAATTTCAAGAGAAGATCAAACAAACTAGGGTGGCTCTCATCAAATGGAGCCAAGCATCCCACTCAAACAATGCCATTAAGATTAAAAAACTCACTCTGCAGAAATGAGACTACTCAGTGATGGGAAAATTTGGGAAAGCTGGGAAAGATTGAAGAAAGAGCTGGATGAAACTCAGTGTGCAGAAGAAACCTTTTGAAAACAAAAATCCAGAAACCTCTGGTTGAAAGAGGGTGATCAGAACACAAGTTTTTTTCATGCCTCGACTATTCAAAGGAGAAAGTTGAATGCTATTACCAGATTGGTTGTGGATGGTGGGAGAGTCTGTGACACCAAAGCTGACATAGAATCTGAATCTTGCAAATTCTATAATATGTTGTTCACTTCTGAAAATTCCAGTGATGAGGGAGGTATCATTCAGCTTATTCCCAGAGTCATAACCACTGAGATGAACCAGAACCTGCTAGCCTTAGTTGATGAAGATGAAATAAAGGTTGCCTTGTTCAGCATGAACCTAGAGAAGGCCCCTGGAGTTTCAGGTATGTCTCCTTTATTCTTTCAACACTCTTGGCCCATAATCAAGCATGATCTGTAATGCTGTTCTGAGTTTCTTTGATCCATCCATGTTACTGAAAAGATGGAACCACACTATCCTTACTCTCATCCCCAAATGCATTAACCCCCCTTCCTTGAGTGACTTTAGGCCTATCAGTCTTTGTGAAGTGTCTTACAAAATTATTGCTAAAATTCTTGCCTCCAGAATTCAGCCTTACCTTCATTTATGTGTTAGTGAAAATCAAGCTGCATATATTCCTGGTAGGCAACTACTTGATAATGTAGTCATGGAACATGAGGTTATTCACTTTCTAAATAGGCATAGAACTGGTAGGCAAGGATATGTAGCCCTTAAACTTGACATGATTAAGGCATATGATAGACTTGAATGGCACTGCTTGATGGCTATTCTTCTTCATTTTGGGTTTAACAAGACTTTTGTTGATGGATCATGGAATATGTGTCCTCAACTTCTTTTTCTCTTAACATCAATGGGACTTTATGTGGCTATTTTGATGCATCCAGAGGGATTAGGCAGGGGGACCCATTGTCCCCTTACCTTTTTATTCTGGCCTCTGAATTGTTTTCCAGGCTCATCAAGAGAGAAATAGATTTGGGTGCTATGAAAGGAGCCAGATTGGCTAGAGGAGGTGTCAGATTATCCCACCTGCTGTTTGCAGATGATTCACTATTATGTTGTGGTTCTGATGTTACCTCAATTCAGGTTGTGCTGAGAATCATTGGAAGTTATCATAAGTTTTCGGGACAAAAAGTTAATTTGTTGAAATCCTCTATCTTTTTTAGCAAGAATGTGCCAACTACCTTGAAAGATGAGATATGTCAGCTTTTGCAAGGTATTCAAGTTCATAGGTCCTCAAAATATCTCGGCCTCCCCCTTGGGATTGGTAAATCCAAGAAGCAAACCTTTTAATATGTAGTTCAAGCTGTCAGAAACAGGGTGGCTAGCTTGAAGAACAATTTTTTATCCACTGTAGGCAAAGCTATTCTGTTGAACTCTGTACTATCTGCCCTCCCAATCTTCACAATGTCATGCTTTGCCTTACCCAAGTCCAGTGTTAGAGATATTGCTGCTATTTGTGCCAGGTTTTGGTGGGAAAATAGTGGGGAAAATGCTGTTGGGGTACATTGGAAAAGGTGATCTCTAATCACTCTACCCAAACTTCTTGGTGGTCTTGGCTTTCATGACTTGCAATTGTTCAATGATGCATTAATTATCAAACAACTATGGAGGGTTGCTACATTTCCTAATTTATTGGTCAGTAAATTTCTGAAAAGCAAATACTTTCCATCTTGGTGCATTTTCCAAGCTGCTGCCAAGCAAAATGCTTCTTGGTTATGGTCCACTTGGATGGCTGTCAAAGAGAGGTACAAACACTGTTTTCAGATCAAGATTGGTGATGGCCTTAATACTCACATATAGCAAGGTCCTTGGACTGGTTCCACCCTTCTGAATAGGCCTCTCAGTTCAGACAGCTCCAATGACAAGTTCAATGGCAAGGTCCTTGGACTGGTTCTACCCTTCGACAATAGATGCTATCTGCCAGTCATGTGGTGATCATACTGAGTCTGTTGAGCACATTTTCTTCCATTGTAGAAAAGCCAAAGAAGTATATAAACTTTCCCCTATTCATTGGGACATTGCCACTGACAAATCAACAAAATTCAGGATTTAGTGGCATGATGTGTGCTTTGTAAATAAGCTTGAGGTTTCTGAAGCTAGAATTGATCTCACCACATATATCTTGTGGTGGCTTTGGAAAGCCAGAAACCTTTGGGTCTTTAAGTAGGAATGGCTGCCAGCACCTTGTATAGTTAAGCTTGCAAGGAATGATTGGCAGGAATTTTCTAAGAGGAAGCAGATCAGACTATGAGAATATGAAGTGTGCCTAGGTTCTTTGATTCAGTGGGTGCTTCTATTCAGGCAGGCTGGGAGTTGTTTTGTGTTTTGTTTTAGTTCTCTTTTGTCAGGTTTCCTTTGTTGAGTTGGTTAGGTAGTTGTTGTACTTTGTGTATGAGTTGTGGTGGCTGGATTGTGATGTTTGTGTTTGTATGGGTGGGCTCATTGCAGTGTTAAGGGTGACAAAATTATCTTTGGCCTTAGCATGTGCTTTAAGTTCATCTTGTGTTCCTTTTATCTTCTTAGGTTGGTAATATCTAGAGCACCTAGATGTTGGTATCTCTCTTGTATTGGGTCCAGTTGGATCCCGGGTTGTATTTTTGTACATTCAGTACTATATATTAATCTATCGTTTCGGAAAAAAAAAAAATAACATGTACATATAGATGATCATTTTTTTCACATAAACTAAACTAAACAAATTGATTGTGTTTTTGGAATTACCATTTGTGATGGGTCATAAGCCGAGTCTCGGACGACCGCCTACGTTCTTTCGAGGTGGCAAGTTTGATGACGAAACTGGAAAAAATATACGCGAGGTAAATATATATGAGTGACTAAATTTTAGATTTTGTTACAAAATACCTTTGTTGACATGGTCAACCAACGAAGCCGGTGTCGCATTTTCATCATCCTCAATTGTAAGGTCAATAAAAGGTACCGAACTGCTCGAAGAAGCAATAGCGAGGTGGGATATGGAACTATTTTGAGACGAGCGCTGTGAATTTAGGATTGGAACACCTAAAATGAAAGGTTATATAAGATTAAATAAAACTAAACATATCAATAACAATATTTCTTATAATGACACAAACAATTATCAATTCTAAAAGATTTACAACAATTAAAAAAATATAATCATACCCGATTTTTGAATAATAGAACATGCATTAGTAGGAACTGGTGGTGTTTGGAACGAAGGTGTTACCGTAGACAAATTTGATAATGAACCGACAATAATTAAATAAATATAGTTAAATTTAAGTTACAACAACTGTAAATATAAAAATGTCAAACTTAATATTATATAAATTTGTGAAATAATAAACTGGAACAAAAAAAAATGAAATTTATAATATAACAATTTTGTATAAATATATAAATGTATATCTTTACTTGTTTAGATGAAAAAATTTAGTACTACAACTATTT